ATAAATATTTGGCTATTCATGCTCAGAAAATAACACTGAAGACAACAGTACGCATTTCTCTCCCCCCACATGAAGAAATGGTACTCCAGAAATGAACGAGGCCTCTAGTCACACACTATGGCGAAGAGCCCCAGTACAAAGACCTCCAGGTGTTTCTTTTCCAGTAGCTAAGAGGAGATTAAGAAGCCATTTGGAGGTCTAGTAGATGGATAGAGAAGCTAATAAAATCTTGCATATGTATGACATTCTCATGCACATGTGACTGTGGCTTGCAACCATGGTGTTTTCCTGAACAGAAATCAATTTAGTTGTATGCTCAAGAGCCTTCTCAAATTAGATACTGAATTCACTTTGCAAAGGTACTAGGTGTGGCTGAACGGTTCTCAGCCCAATTCCAAACCCAACTCCATCCTTCTTAGGCAGGTAAGTTTTCAGAGACTCTAGTAAAACACTGAACCATGGCAGGACTGATTTTTAGTAAACTTCAGTGATTACACTTAAAATGACTACTTACTTGTAGATCCGCCATGGAGAAAAGTGTCCCATTGAAATGTTAATATTATACTCATTCTTGCAAATAAGAAACAGGAAAAAGGAATTGATGCCACCACTTACCAGGCACTCTCCTCGCACACAGATACTATGAGGATCCTTATATGAGCACCTTGTTCCATCATGCACCAGTCTTTTCATATACACAACGTCATTAGTCTCCTTGGACTCACAATAGAGATGGCACCTTTCTTTGGCTACAAGGGAAAAGAGTCCTGTGATTTATCTCTTCAGCTGATGGTTCTTATCCGATCAGACTGCAGAAGGCAATTCTGTTAAAATCATGATCTTTGAATAAAAATGTGCAGATTTCCAAAGATTCCAATCAACCCACTAGAAGTAGAATTTAGATCCATGTAGAGGGGTTCCCACTAAGTTCAGGAGAAGTGGACCACACTAAGGTTACCAGACATCCCCGTTTCTCGGGGACAGTCCCCGTATTTACAAATCAGTCCCCTGACAAAATCCATCTATTTAGTAGGAAGTTGAAAAGTGCCCCCGGATTCATTGAAAAAAATCTGGTAACCTTAGACCACACTCAAGATCACAAATATGTGTATGTGTATGTGTATGTGTATAGGGTACCTGATCAATTTGGCAACCCACTAAAGCAAATTTATATCCACTTTTTTGACGTGCCATTGCAGTAGTGTATGCTTATGCATACTTCATGCACAAAATTCAAAGTAGATGCCAAGTAATGTATGAACACAGGAGCTGACGACGTATCCACCCTCTCCAAATGAAGCTGAGACTTTTGGCAGAGTAACCAATGGGTGGTAATATTTTCCATACACTGGAAATTACAGTCTTCAAATACGGCAGACTGGAACCAAGGCCATTAAGAAAGCAATAACACGAAGAAGAAGAAGAAGAAGAAGAAGAAGAAGAAGGAGAAGGAGAAGAAGAAGAAGAAGTGGTGTACTAACCATCACTATGCTCATATGCAAGCCAATGGTGCTTCTTGTTCTGATATTCAAAATAAGGATCCCACTGTTTGCACTGCTCCTCTCTGAAATCTTCATTATCTTTAGGACAATCATTTGTGCTACAAAGCTGGAACTCATAGCTTGGTCCAAAACATGTACGACCTCCATTAGCTGGGCTAGGAATAAGAACAAAACCAGATGAATAAATAACATCACGTCAGTGACACTTATAAAATTTTCTTATTACTAATGAATTCATATTTGGAGCCTCAGAGATCAACTGCAGGAGTAGATTGGCTCCTTCCACTGAAATTAACAGAGATAACTCTACAAAAGCAAGCTACATGTGGAGATCTTGAATCACAACAGTGTTGAAATCAGTGGGACCTATATATATCTGGTCCCACAGATTTCAGTAGCAGTAAAAAAAATTTACTTAGGGTGGAATTCAGCATCACACTCTTCCAGTTCCATCTGGATATGCATTGCAAGACTTCCATTTGCACAATGGGGCTCCTGTTGTGTAAGCAGAAGTCCTTGCACAGTGCTTCTACTGCTGGTGCTGGATAGTTAAATGCCACCCTTAATCTCATCTCATCTCTTCTCTTCTCTTCTCTTCTCTTCTCTTCTCTTCTCTTCTCTTCTCTTCTCTCTTCTCTATCCTTGGTAGTAAGACCAAATACCAGGAAAAGCTTTCACTTTGGCTTCAGTCCCGCAAGTACCTAATCCTGCATACGCATAACCAGAGTTTCTACTTTTCGTTTTACACCAGCAATGGCGACAAACTGCATTTGTGTCAGGCGGCAGAGGCACCAACTCCCACAGCAGGTTGCCAGGAAGGGACAAGACAAGGAAAAGTCCTTACCATCTGTTTTTATTCAATATTCACATAGAGAGCCTTGGGAATGCAGCCTCTCAGAATAATGGTGTTGCCCTGAGTGAATCTCCATCCCCACCGCCTCTCCCACTTCCTCATGAGTCATCATTATGGGTGCTGAAAAGTGCCCTCTGCCTTTGAGCTCTTTGCTCTCCCACTTTCAAGACCTACCATGTTCTGGGAGGGTGGGGTCTGGAATGCTTTCTAAAGACACCGAGTCCATCAGCTGTCGCTCCCCTGGTGCTTCTTCTTCTTTTTCTTCTTCTCCTCTCCCATTATTCCCCAGCTTTCCCCCTCATCTGCCTCTAAGCTGAGACCTCCCTCAAACCCGTTGTAATTCTGAACTGTCTTCTTCTTCTCTGGAAGGATCAGGCAGATCTCCAGTCCCAGGCCAGTCCCTGACAACTTGTAATCCTATTCCAACTATTTTACATGTGGGTACAGACTGCCTCTTTGAGCAACAGCCAAAAAAAAAGGCAAGCAATGGCTGTGTGCATAGCAGGAGAACCCTGCATGAGGGCCATGGTGAATTCCTAATCCAGTATACAGTCAATGGTCTGCATTATTTCACCCACCTAAGGATGAAACATAGTCTCAAGCAATTGTTTCTGTGCATTTCTGATAGTAATTTAACAGTGTCTCTCTCACAAATGTTTCCAGTAGCACCTTAGAGACCAACTAAGTTTGTTATTGGTATGAGCTTTTGTGTGCATGCACACTTCTTCCGATACACATACAATACGCGGTTGGAATCCCCGCGACGGGGTGAGCTCCCGTTGCTCGGTCCCTGCTCCTGCCAACCTAGCAGTTCAAAAGCACATCAAAGTGCAAGTAGATAAATAGGTACCGCTCCGGCGGAAAGGTAAACGGCGTTTCCGTGTGCTGCTCTGGTTCGCCAGAAGCAGCTTAGTCATGCTGGCCACATGACCTGGAAGCTGTACGCCGGCTCCCTCGGCCAATAAAGCGAGATGAGCGCCGCAACCCCCGAGTCGGTCACGACTGGACCTAATGGTCAGGGGTCCATTTACTTTTACCTTCGTGTGCATGCACACTTCTTCCAATACACATGTGCATGCATACGAAAGCTCATACCAATAACAAACTTAGTTGGTCTCTAAGGTGCTACTGGAAGGAATTTTTTTATTTTGTTTTGACTATGGCAGACCAACACTGCTACCTACCTGTAACTCACAAATGTTTATTAGTCATTGGCAGAGGTGGCAGGCATGGTAGGGCAGTTCTGCACTGTCGTGGTCCCAACAACAGAAATGCTGCCACTCACTGCGCTTGACTCCCCAGTGTAGCTGCACAGTCCACACCTCACTTCTGCCCATTCTGATAAGGACCACAGGCATTGTTGAGAGAGCGATGACATGGGAAGCCATCCCCACCCCATGCCACCCGCTCCTGGTCTTCAGCTTGCTTAGGTCCAACTTACTGTGGGTTGTCGCATTGCCGTGTTCTGAATTTCACTCCCGTTCCACAGGTTCGAGAACAGGAACCAAATTTACTCCATGCCCCCCAGTTTCCATCTTGCTTCAAGATATCTGGAGTTAACCAGATACAGTGACCTTTAAAACAATGCTAAAAAGAGAAAAGCATACGTGGATGCATATTTTCACAATGAGTCACATTGCACAGCAAAGTTGTCTTAGTTTTTGGACACAGACTGAAAGCTCCTCAGTCTACATACTGATGAAAAGCAATACCAGATACTAGATTTCTGATGAATCCTTTGCACCAATGTTATGTCAGCTTCTTCTACCCCCACTGCCAGGCTCAGTATGCCCCTGAATGTGAGTGGCATGGGAAACCACAAGTGGGGAAAGTGCTGTAGCCCTCAGGTCCCCCTCACTGAGTTCCAATAGGCACCTGACTGGCCACTGTGAGAACAAGATCTTGGCTTCAATGGGCCTTTGGCCTGACCCAGCATGGTTCCAGCTGAAGCAATAATATTACCAAAATTCATTTGGATTTTAATTTAATTCATGCCAATGTTTCAAGAAGTAAAATTTAGGCTTTTTCTTCCAAAGTTGCTTGGCTATGATTTCTTCTGCCACTATCTGCAGTGGTGAGAAAAAGATTGTACACAACAACAAGAGAAAAAAGTTTTTTTCAGTTTACAAGAACCTGCAGTGAAACCTTTAGCATTTCTTATTTCATAGCCCTTTGGGCATTCACATGACATTATAGGTAATAATTATTATGACACCTCTGAGCAGTATTTGTTGATCTAAAGTTTGATCTATAAATAGTCCTTCAAAATAAAAATGGAGCACAAAAAATCCTTCATTCTAATGTTATCTATAAACAATGTCTACTCCTTGTCTACTATTTCATCCTATGAAGAAGAATACATGGGGGGGCAGTGCTAACCCAAATCATTCTGATTTCAGCTACTGACAAATGGATCACTAAGGGAGACTTTTAAAAAGGCTCTTACTTTGCAACACCTGTTGGTCAGGACAGAAAGTGGTGGGCAAGCATGATCATTCTCACATTCTAATACCTTGCCCTAGTTTGCTTCCTGGTCCCACAGACTGGCACCCACTGGATATCAATGTAAGTTATCATAAAAGTTATCCTAGAGTTGGAAGGAACCCTGGGAATCAACTGGACCAAACCCCTGCAATGCAGGAATATGCAGCTGTCCCTTCCGGAAGTTGAACCTGCAACCTTGGTGTTGTTAGCACCACACTCTAACCAACTGAGCTATGCAGCTACCAAGCCTTTTTTTTTTTTTAAATGATATTTATTAAGAATTTTAGAATTACAGAAAAAACAAAAAAGAAAAAGAAAGAGAAAAAACAAAAGAAAAACAAACCACAATCAAACAATACAAATTGATAAAAATCAAAATCAAAAAATAAAAACAAAGCACGTGACACAACACAATCAAAAGGCAAAAATAAGCCACAAACATTTAAAAACAAATCCAATATTCTCAAATCCTTAACTGTCATTACCTTCTTTCTTTGACCTCCTCACTCCTCCCTTTTTTTGTATCCTAGTTGTTAATTGTCACAGCAAATCCTTTCCATTTTTCATAATATTCTGTCATTACATTACCTTAATCTATTTTAACCTTATCTTACTATAAAAGACCCTAAAACTTGAAACTTAGATCTTATTTATACCAATTTCTCATAACCATAACATATTCTTACATAATTCTTTTAACATTTTTGCTAAAGCCAAATGGTTTCGTTCCAACATTTTTCTAACATTCATCAATTTTATAAAGCAATCCTAATTAAAAAAAAATTCTTCCAATCTTCATCCAGCGTCTCTTCCTCCTGGTCCCGGGTTTTGTCAGTCCTTTCTATCCCATCAATCTAGCGCATTAACCTGGTAATCTTATGTCCGAGGCCCTTAAGTCTCTTCCATGTCCCTTCCGCGGCTCTTCTTCATATTTATACCTGTACTTTACTTTGTCTCCTGCTCCTTTCACTCGTGGGAACTCCAACTTGACAGTGTTTTTGACCCTTCTCGACAAATCAGTCCCTTTTCCATATTCCACACTAAACTCCATGTGGTATTTAAAAACATGTTTCAAAGTCCCTCCAGAATTAAGAGCCCCCACAACCCCAAACATCTCACGGCCCACTGCCAGACTTGAAAAGTCCAAACATCCCTGCATAGGGGGGTCTATCCAACCCCCCATTTCCAAACCAAACCAAACTTTATCTTTCCAAATCTGGCTTTTTCCAAGTTCATTTGTCAGATCCAAGAATTCATGTTCCTGCTGGGCCACAACTCCCTCCATCTCTGGCGCCCGAGGTTCAGCAACATCCTCTTCCCTCATCTGATCTGTCAGAGCACACTCCTGATTTGATTCCTGGGTGGGCTCTATATAGTTTCCCACTACCTGTCCAAAATTTCTGATCGCAGCAGTCATCAAGTCCGTCTTCTCATGTAGCTGTTCCAGTAGGGCACTTGTTTTGCAGAAAGCACGCACCAGAGCTTCTGAATACATTGTTCTGCAAGGTCAGAAGTCTATTCCCACGATCGTAATCTGTTGCAGCTGCAGAGCTCCCCGATTCAGATTTAGTAACAGTTTCACAGGCTCCCTCTAGGGGAAGAACTTCTATTTGTTCTTTTCCTTTAAAGGCAGATCTAACAACAAAGTTTCCTTTTTCAGATATTTTGTCAATATTTGTTCCTTTAAAACGCGAAGGAGAACAATGGAATCACTATGTTTCTCTTCTTTTAACTATCTGTCAAAGACGTTTGTCTCTGGTCAATGAGCTTCCCAAAGAACGTCAGTCCTGACACCCCGCTCCCAGGATCAAGACAGTGGAAAATTACTTTGCTTTACACTCTCTTCTGCAGGTTTAAACAGTCCGGAAAAAATCCCCCCTCTTCTCCTGCTTCCAAAGGGGGTTCAACAATTTTAAATGATGAAAGTTAATCCTTTACAAGCGATTTTCTGAACTCTAGTTTACCATGTCTTTGCTTTAATCTATCTACAAGAAACGGAAGGCTGACTTCCTGTTTAGACCTTCCCATTTCAGTGCCAAATTGAGATGAATTTCTTAGTCCAATTTTCCTTTCTACTCGCAGGTCATTATTTAAAGTCCAATTGTCCGAAATTTAAGTACTCACGGATAATTGTTTTACAAGCCAAATTGTCCCAGGAAAAAGGCAGCACTCTCCGGCAACGGCTGTGCGGCTTCGCTCCACGGAAGAAGCAGTTGACTCTCAGCACCGCGCCACTTCCCCCTCTTCACTCCGGAGCCCATAAGTGGGTTCCTTTATGGGTTGGGGGGGCGCTAAAGGTGCCCGCCTAGTCCCATGGTCACAGGCTTCATCCGCCTGTGATTTTTGAAAGGGTCCCCGCTTCGCCGTAGCGGGAAAGACCCGTTTTCCGTGGAGCTAGTCCCTCCGAATCAGAGGGAATCCGCCATTACCGATGGCGCCACCCCGGAAGTGCAGCTACCAAGCCTTAAACTTTGCAAAAGCCTAGGAAAGGTCTGCCCACTTAATTTGCATGCCATACAACACAAAACAAATGAAACAGGGACATTATTTTACGCAGTGTTTAATTTACTTCAAAGTTCTTACTTGAAAGAACTTATCAATAAATATTGCAAGTGGGAGTATGCAACGGCCCAGCAAAAGGCTAGAGAGGATCACCGTTTTAGATGGCTGTGTTTCCAATTACAGTAAGCTAGAAACTCTAAGCTAGAAACCCCACCCCAGAATGGGAAATATTTTCAATGCAATACTGTTGCCTTATGCTGATCTACAATTCCAATTCAAAACTGATAGAGGAATGGACTTGCAAGAAGGAATACATAAAAAAACATTGTTCTGGTATAAATATATCAATATGCAATGCATGAAATTTATAGAGTAAAAGACTAAGAAGAAATGGGTATAAGAGGAGATAGTTAAAAATAATATTGATAACACAGCGAAAAGAAGAAAAGAAATACTGTAAAGGAAGTCACACATAGGTGGAGGGAAGTCAAGATTTTTGTTTTTATGTTTAGTTTCTTTTGTAATTTAAGTTGATACTTCTTTTGGTTAATGTATGTTTAATTGTTTTCTTTTGTAGGAATTAAGGAGTTGTATTTATAATAAGTTTGTTTTGTGTTTTGTTTTGTGTTTGTGAGTATTGCATTTACTAATAATAATGATAATAATAATAATAATAATAATAATAATAATAATAATAATAATAAAACAATTCCAGTTCATGGGTCTTAATGGTTCCTGTCAGCATGGGGAGCTGGGCATGCGCACGACAGACAGATGGCCAGAGCAACAAGTGCAATCATTCACTTGCTCTTCCTAGTAATGAACTCCACAACAAATGTTATTCAGCTTAACCAGCCTTCAGATCTAGGCATTTGGCAGGCACTGTATGCAAAGCATATGGCTAAACACCCACTGCCAACGAAAACAAAGGAGAAGGGTTTATAAAGTAAAATCTCCCTTAAGCATAAAATGGTGACTAGTGTAACAGAGAAATAGTGGGAATGCTGCCAAATATTAACCCGTAAAGGGAGAGAAAGGCTACAGTTGGTAGAACAGTGACAATGAAAAAGCTGTCTGTGACATGGGGCATCAGTACTTGATAAAAAAAAAGTAAAGGAGGCACAGGGTGTTCAGAATGGCTCTTCAGTGTGCCAGTAAGATATTCCAGGTCAAAATATAATTAAGTGAAAGCTGTATCTCACGTTGGAATCGTTTTTTAAAATACTAATATTTAGTCTCCCAGGAGATGTTCACACAAGATCCATTGCCAATTCACACAACGTTATTTCCAGAAATGAGATAACTTCTTTTGGTCACCCCCACGACTTGAAAGATGAAGAAACATCTTGCGGGAATGTTTCATGCATACTGCTTACTCCCTCGATTTTCTTGTGAACCAGAACAGAGATTGCCAGTGGCAATGAGAGAAATTCCAACGATCAACCAGTTCCAGAAGTATCCAGTCATGGGAGTTGATGAAAGGAGTAACCCAGGATTTGAAATAAGAAGGAGGAGGGAACCATGGGGAGGGCATACACTGATAGAAACAAATTTGGTTCTTAGTGGCTGACCATTATAAGAGACACGGTAAGCAGATACAATGATTCCTTTATTATTATTATTATTATTATTATTATTATTATTATTATTTAAACTACTAGTAGTCTCATAGTTCATCCTTTTCTTTTGCAGATCTTTTGCAGTAAGGAACTATTTTAAAAAATGGAAAAATCTTGTGGCACCTTAAAGACTAGCACATTTTATTATGGCGTAAACTTTCATGGACTTGAGTCCAGTTCATCATATGTGTGAATTGTTTTATTGAGTTGCAGGCAGTGGAGAATGCCCCGCCCACTTCAGTCTGTCTTCTTACTTACAACCAATTAGGGGGCGGCTCTGCTTGTCACTGGTTCTGGCTCTACCCACCACTGGCTTTGGTTCTGCCTACTGTTGGGTCTCCCTGTCTTCTGCTCCTCCAGTTTCATTGGGCACCAGGCGCTGCTGGCTGCAGTATTATATGTTGTGACAGGGGCTGTGGCAGCAGGTGTGAGGGAAAGAGTTCTAAGCAGAGGGAAATGAAATGCAAGAAGTACCGGTAGTACAAGTAGAATTCTGGGAGTTGTAGTTTGTTAAGGGTGCTGAGAGTTGTCTATTCCCCTCCCAGAGCTTCAGTTTGTAGAGTGGTTTAACAACCAAGCCCTCTTCACAGGGAACTCTGTGAACTGTAGCTCTGTGAGAGGATTAAGGGTCTCCTAATAACTCTGTGTAATTAAAGCCATGGTTTTCGCAGTAGGGATGTATGGAAGTGAGAGCTGGACCATAAAGAAGGCTGATCGCCGAATAATTGATGCTTTTGAATTATGGTGCTGGAGGAGACTCTTGAGAGTCCCATGGACTGCAAGAAGATCCAACCTATCCATTCTGAAGGAAATCAGCCCTGAGTGCTCACTGGAAGGACAGATCCTGAAGCTGAGGCTCCAATACTTTGGCCACCTCATGAGAAGAGAAGACTCCCTGGAAAAGACCCTGATGATGTTGGGAAAGATGGAGGGCACAAGGAGAAGGGGACGACAGAGGACGAGATGGCTGGACAGTGTTCTAGAAGCTACCAACATGAGTTTGACCAAACTGCGGGAGGCAGTGGAAGACAGGAGTGCCTGGAGTGCTCTGGTCCATGGGGTCACGAAGAGTCGGACACGACTAAACAATAGCAACGATAACTCTTACTGCCCTTAACAAAC